TTACAAGTGAAAACGGACAAAATGGTCGAAGAAGCAGCCGGCGAAGACTGGACTCTAGGTGAACGTAAACAAGACGGAGGTTGTGAAAATCACCAAACAAGAACAACAACAGCAGCAGCAACATCCAGCGCCAATTACAATCAACGGGAGGGATTTGAAAGAGGTTAATTCATTCACTCACTGATCTAGGAGCATTGTCTCAACTACAGGAAGTCGGAACGGACGAGGATGTCAAATCGAGCGAGAATCGGGAAGGCGAGAAACACATTCACCAACCAACTGAAACCAATCTGGAAAACGTCGTCACTCAGGATCAACAACAAAATTCGGTCGGATTTTCAATACAAACGTCAAGTCAGTCAGTTCTTCTATACGGATCAGAAACTTGGCGGGTGGGTCACAAAGAATATTTCCAACAACCTGTTGCAGACCATACCTTTATCAACAAACAACTGTCTTCGCTGGCTCTATACTGAAGATCAGATGGCCGGGCCGGAAACAATCACCAGCAAGAAACTATGGGAACGAACAGAACAAGAACCAATCGCCAACCAACATATATGCAGGAGAAAATGGAGATGAATTGATTGGACACTCGCTGAGGAGGCCGCCACTGGGTGACATCGCGCGTCAGGCTATTGCTCGAACGGAACCAGGCCGAAAGGGAAGCGGCGAGTGGGTCGTCAGTGCAAGGGTGACATGGAGGAGATCGTGTGAAGAGGAGTTGAAACAGTATGGACTAACAAGGATGCAGGTGAAAAGTACAGCAGAAGACAGAAGCAAGTGGAGACGTGTAATTGAAGCCCTATATTCCACTAGGAACCCAAGGGAACAACAACAATAATAGTAATATTCAAGAACAGGCGAATCAAAATCATATGAGAAATTGTATTGGGTTGTACAAGTATAAGATGGAATAATGGTCCATTATTTTTATTTTAGATTACAGCTTGATTCCACACCGTATTTTCAGTACAAACATGAAATTTTCAGCATATGATATCGGTAGCCCATAATTTTGCAGACCGACCATTGATATCAGGTGTGTGTCGGCAGGGGATCGAACTCCGGACCATGTGAATGGTCGGCGAGAGTCCTAACCGCTGTGCCACCGACTGTCAATTGAATGCATATATAAAATGAATAGTCACTAAGATCACGACATAAAATGTGAATAAAACAATTAAATGACATACTAATGTATTTATATAGTCAACAAAAATATAAGTTTCAGGGGTTGAATAATATTCATCGGTATGACAGAAATATGAATACACGATTGATCACGAGCTTAAATGAGTTAGAGGATCACTGGAAAACCTGGGAGAAGTGGACAGTCTGGGTTCGAACGCTGTTGGGTGTGTACTGATGAAAAGTCCCAAACTAGAACGGAAAAGCTGTCCAGTACTCAATCCAAGCTGGTTTTCCAATGGTTCTCTAACTGATATCAGCTCGTGATCAGTCCTGTAACCAATGAAATCCCTGTAAGCCAACACTTGATAAATATGAATACTACAAAAATACAAACAAACAAATAAGATAAGCTAAATGTAAATCCGAGGGATGACAAATAACAAATATAATGGAAAAATAAAGTGGTGATGTGGTTAACTGTAATCACTTAATAAACTTGGCGTAAATTGAGTAGTTATATTATGTCCATGAAGTGACAAAATCAACATGAATATGATAAGCAAGTTCACTATGTAAACACACACTGCTTTTATAATTTTACACACTGATCAAATCCAACAATCTACACTTATTTTTGTTATCTTTACCAATTGACCAACTTGACAACGAAAAATGACCCCCAGACAGACAGACGAACGATGATCAAGTTAGTAAACTTTATTATTTTTTGATTTACAGCTTGATTCCACACCGTATTTTTGGTACAAGTATGGAACTTTCAGCATGGATATCGGTAGCCCAAATTTTGCAGGCCGACCATAGATATCAGGTGTGCGTCGGCGGGGGTTTGAACCTCGGACCATGTGCATGGTCGGCGAGGGTCCTAACCATTGTGCCACCGACGCACATATCATAACAGATATACTATTACCTTTGTTATTTGGTTTAGTGATTGATCTTCATTGTTATTTTGACTTTCAATATGTCCCTTTAACTTGACCTAAGTCTTTGTTATATTTTTGGTGAGATTTTGTAAATTCCGGTTGAATAATACTTCGATAAAGCCATTAGAAGCAGCATTAAGTAGCGAAACGTCAGTAAAAACAATATCTTTTTGTTTTTCATTCATCGGGAAATATATAAACCTTTATTATAATAAATTGAATAGTGATAATAATGGTGACAAGGAGAAAGAAAGACATAATAAAGCATGCAAAAAATATGAGATGATTCCGACCCCGATGACATTTTAGTAGACTGATGTAAACACAGTGGATGAATGTACTTTTTGCACACAGATGTTAGGGGTTTGTTCTTATTGATTCCTATAGCTTCAGTTATTATTGCTGAGAGAATATAATCGTGTACCTTTAAGGCAGATTTTTGACACTCGATGCACAACAGTAAATGACTTGTCATCTATCTTTATGCGGTGTTCACTATCCTTTAAATGAGATGAGATGACACTTATTACTGAGTTTCTTTCTTTCTTTTTGAGCCTAACTGGTACATGTTCACGAGAGTGTACAGTTTGGCACGGAAAAGAAGAAGAAAACAAATCGATCAACATTACCATCTTATCTCATTTAGAGGATAGTAGACACACCACATCAAAATTGTACATCGATGGCCAAACAATCTACTTAAAAAAGTATATGGTGGCATGATGTGCATTAAACAATGACTAACGACAGCATAAATAGGAGAGGAAGAAGCAAAAATATTCGGCAGAGCGGTTAGGACTCTCGCCGACCATACACATGGTCCGGGGTTCGATTATTCCCCACTGGCGCACACCTGATACCAAAGATCGGCCTGCTAAATTTGGGTTACCGATATCACATGCTGAAAATTCTATACTTGTATCAAAATACTCTGTGGAATTAAGCTATAATAAAATTAAAATAATAAATAGATAATACTAGCTCATTTCATTTCGTGGATTCTCTTCAACTACATACACCCTAAAAGATATCAAATCATAGGTTACAAAATTTCTGAATGCACTTTTTTACAATGACTTCTAGATATGGATACGAAGTGTAGGCAACATAATTCCAAAGATGACGTAACTAAACGAATTATTCAGTGTTAAAACAGTAATTATTTATAGCATAATTAGACAAGAGGTGGGAAGAGTTCAGATTTCGCTTGGAAACAAGGATAAACTAGAGACCTAATTACAAGATAAAACTACAAAGCGACTATGTACATATTATGACACAAACTTCAAGAGGGTGGGGTTGAATAGTGAAGTAGAATTATACAATCGACAAAATAATTTAATTTAGTAGAATCGGAAACTTTTAATATTGAGTTCAACTCAGTAAATGAAAATCAGAGTCGAAATTAAATGGAATGCTATCCAACAAAACAAAGCACAAAATCACACCAACAAAACATTTACGGTTACCAGGGTTATTGTGAGAGATTAGTCACACTCCCATTCTGTATGCATAGGTTGGATCGAAGTCTTTTGATGTCATTGGCTTCTGTGAACCGAAATAACCATGCTCTTCTTTGTGTATTGATTACTTTTAAAGCCTGACTGATTTCCATACCAATTGGGTGTCTGGCAGTTGCACTTAAGAGCACTTTGCTATCTTTCAAATGGAGACTTCTATGGATGTGCTTAGAGAATCTAGTAGATGCTCACCTTTCAGTTCTTCCTATTAACTTGACGCTGAAAGTTCAGGTGGCTTAGTACATGAAGTCGGAGTTGACATGATCACGATGCTTATCTACTTTTGACTGAGTTTAACAAGCATAGCTTGTTGTAAAGTGGAATGAGTTTCTGAAGGAGGGAAATGTTCTTTTCAATACACCCTTAATTCTTTTTTTCGGTTCTTGCGGATACTTCTTCGCCTTTGTACGCTAGACATATAAAAACTGGTTTCTTTTCAAATTACTTTGGGTTTCAGTTTATGTGCTTTTTCTTTCCTACATTTTGATATAAACTTTCGACTGACTTTGTTTAGGATGTACGCAGTTGAAAAGGATCCACGAGACAAAACATACTGGTATTATTCTGCAAATATGTTCGTCCTTTCTTTATTCAAACTAAGGCGACCGGTTGTATGAGAAGATTCTTAATAGAAGTGTAGATAGTACTCATAGTCATTGTTCTATGTGCTCAGAATCGTTTTAACTATTTGTATGATGAGCCAATAAAATGTGTGTATGTGTGTCTCTATGATAGAACTCCAGTTTATTGTCCAAATACCTGATCTTTAGTCTATGTGACTTATACATGTTTGCACAAGAGTTTACTTTCATTAAATAACATGAAAACTATAGATACGATTAAATAACTTTTATGACTTAAATCAATCATAATACTAAAACTAACAATTTAAATAGTTTTTTATATTTAATAAGTGGATGGTGACTAGCAATGGAATCCAGGAGGCACATTTCGTCCTACGTGGGACTCGTCATCTGAATGTACATGCATTCCCCCAAAGCGTTATCCACTATGGGCACTGGGTTCGAGCCTCAGTGGGAACATCATCACTCACTCACTCACTGGGGAATACAGGTACATCCAGCTAGTTGATGAGTCCCGAATAGGACGAAATGTGCGCATCATGGATTCCACTGCTAGCAACCATCAACCAATTAACTTCTAATCGTCGAAGCATCTGCACAAGAAGCCGATATGTCAACCTGAGACCGAACAGTTCGTTCCTATCAATCGACGGGAAAATCTAAAATTCAATTAAAGTTTTTTTATATATATATCTATTTTTAGACAAAAAGCACAGAATCGCCAGTCGTGTTTAGCGAAAAATTATTTTTAACAATCATATGAATTATGAGTATACTTAATGACAAAATAATAGATACTCTCTCTATCTCTCTCTTACCTCAGACGCCTTAACAAATACATGCCGGCCTTTAGGACAAAGTTTCAGTGAATATTCCTCAGTGAAATTAGGCGGCATAAATAAAAGCCATTCGGCTAGCATAAGAAATTTGGAATGACACCGCCAACTTTTTATTTTACGACAGCCTGATGGTTCATTTGACGCCGCCCATGGATGTTTTTTTAAGTTTTCATCGTCGTCGTTCAAGGCAAAACGATTACAGTCAAAGTGATTTGATCGGTGTTTCTTTGATCTAAGCTTAGCAAGTTGTTGACGCCAACGTCTTTCTTGGTCAACAGCACGACCTTGATTTTTATACAGGGAGAGACGAGGATGATTTTGAGACTCGGAAACAATTTCTAAATTCTCCTCGTCAATATCTAATGTTGTGTTCCATTGTTTGCATAGGGAATCCAATTCCATTTCGTTTCAGTTCGTTTGTGTTGAAGGCATAACACATTCATATACCTTGGAATGAAAGTTTCAAAATATTCAAGGGATAAAATGGTCATTGAATGTCACCGATTCAGAAGAAGAAAAACAAAATACTACAACTTACCCACTTGAAAGTAACAGCAGGATTCGAGGATGCAACCAGTTTTACAGGTGATTTGACCAATGTAATAATGTCATCAAAAAACACATTCTACACATATTGGAATTTTCCCTCGCTACATCTAATGCGGACTGTTTTTATGATTTGTTACGAATACTGGTTATATTTTGTCATAAAGCAGTTATGGTAAGTTTGTTAAATGACTAGTTTTAACACCATCTAATGGTTGATGGAAGAAGTCATGAATAGGCTGGCTGTCTTTGGTCACAGGGGTCTGCGTCCTATCTCCCACGTTAGGTATTATAACAAGGTGAGTAGCCTTGGGGTTAGGCGTAGTGTTAGGTGAGGAGGGAAAATCAATTGACGAGGTTGTGAAGCTACATCGACTGAGATGGTTAGGACATGTGTTACGCATGCCTAACCATCACCTTCCTCGACAGGCAATATTAGCCACCGACATAGGAACGATCAGGTTGGAAAAGAGCTAGTGGTAGCCAAACCAAAACATGGCATCAGTGAATGAAATCCACAACAGTTAGTTTAAGACACGTAGGAAGGTGTAGACCTTCGGGTTGGGGTCCTCGGGACGGTAAAAACCAATGAAGGCTGGAAACTATTATTGATATGGCTCAAAATCGTTCTCAATAGCTAGCGCAGATGCATCTACTCCTTGTGACGTATGATTTCCAATGAAACCATATTGTTCTTCGTTATAACTGTTCCTTTGTCTCACACTTCTGTTTACTGTCTCTATTATGCATTTCTTCTCGTGCTTTGTGTGTTACATGGAGTGTGGCGACTTGAACTGCCGCACATATGTGTAAAGTTTTATGTCGAAAACAGACAAGCCAAAACATGGCATCAGTCCATGAAATCTTTAACAGTTAGTTTGAGCTGACCATGTAGGGAGGTGTAGATTGTATGATTGGAGTCCTCAGGATGGTAATAACCAATGGTTGGAGACGATCGGTGATGTGGCTCAGATGCATTAACTCACTTTGTGGTCTCCTATATCCTCTAAATTTTTATTGTTTTTTCATCTTACTATTCTGTGTCACATTTCTGTGGATTATTGTTCTTTCAAATATCTATTTTTCTCTCTTTTGTCTTCTTTGGTGTGCTACATGGAGTGTGGCATCTTAACCTGCTGCAATTCCGTGCAAAGTCTTACACTGAATCAGACAGTCAGAGATGGTAGATGACATGTCGTCAGACAGCTTGAACATATAAGATTGTGAGTGAACTTAAACCGATTTATAATAAGGTATCTGGAGGACTAAATCTACTGTTTGAAAAACAATGCATCTCACATCCCACGGTTGATTTTCATTACTACTACGGTTAGGGAAACAGGCAGAAACTGCCTTTTATTTCCATTATCTATTCAATATTTAGATTAGAATAAAGCAAGTAACCCAGTGGTCAAAGCTACGATATCAAAGGACTTAAAAGTGCTGTGATTCAAAAAATATCGTAAAGAGTACTGGAACTATAGTATACGCATCGGTAACACAGCGGTAGAATGTTCATCAACCACGACTCATGTGGTCCAGTGTTTGATTCCCGACCAACTCACTCGTTTACCTTACTAGGCTAGTAATAAAACTTGTAAGGAGGAGGGGGGGTTAACAACCCCATCCCATAAAAATAAATACCACTGCTACCGAAACTTCAAGCCTCTAGCTTGAAGCCGTATGTTCCAGTGGAAATGTAGACGAATAAAAGACCTTCAGTATCCTAGATTATATATAAAACTTCATTTAGTAGGGCACACAGTGAGTTTGAATGTCTTAAAGTTGGCGAAAAATTAGTATCTCAACAGTTGAGTTATGTTAAATAATTTCATCCTGTAAGATTTGTCATTTTGTTGTGGCCTTCTGTTGATTCATTCACGCAGTATTCGAGTGACAAGGTATTCACTCTCATGTGTATAAATAAGTAACTGAATATACCAGCCGCAGTCTGCTAAGTTGTATAAACATTCGTAAGAAAAAAAACAACCTTAAATGGAATGCTTTCCGAGCATTTCGACTTGCTGTATCCCTTAGATGCATAAATATAATAAGACGGAAGAAAATGGTATCGCGGCAACCTGAGCTACTGAGTTTATTTCCATATGGAGATCAGGTTCACTTTCTGTTGTGATTCAGTGATGTAAACTGACCGCTGAACGATTGTTCCAGAAGGTGAAATTATATCACAAAGGACAGATATAAGACTAAGTGCTGTTACTGGTGTAGTGATTACTACACCGTAGTAGCTAAGCAACTTCACCACAACTTTTGTCAGCCTTAACAGGGAAACCATGAAGTTCTTCCATGAGCTTTGTGGTCATACAAGAGTTTAGATTTTCTTATTTGTACGAGGAATGAAACAATAGTCGAAATTATGGCATCTTGAAGAATAGATACACTTTGCATTTATAATACGCTGCTTGTGTGATCACTTAACGAAATCTGATAAATGTTGTGAACCTGTGAATTTTTCTTTAATAATATCGGGATAATCAGCTGTTAATTCCCGTAGACTTACCTATGTAAAAATATCATTAGACTACAAAATGGAAAGTTCATTCATCAACTGAATCTTAGTGGTTATCTGTGCTGTTCAACCAAATGGGGTCTGTGGGAAAAAAAGATAATGATATATGTAACATTTTACCACCTATCGCCCGACTAGAGTTTAGATGACGTAAAGGATGTCTTATCAGCTGTGAAATTTCCTGTAAAAACTAAGATGCTTATATATATATATATATTAAGCTGATCTTAACTCTCAAGCGGCAAACGTGAACCATCTGGGAGACCGTATTGGAGGTGAATACAAAGTTCACTCCCGAAAATAAACTAACAACCATGAACATCTCTATCAATGCGATCGGTAACCAATTGTTTCTGAATGGTGATAAATTTAACTATCAAGAAAAAGATGGTTCTATTTGGTCGCTATTAAAATCAAAACAAAAAAATTAATTATACTGTTGCCATTGCTCCTAGAATATTTGCACTAACCTTAGTTGAGTTAGCATTATGTATGTAAGTGTCTAAGACTTATTAGAAGTGAAAACTATGGCGAACACAACATTCCTCAGGCAGCGATAACAATATTCATTTTACTGGACGGAGAGAATTGCAGGCAACTGATGACCTGAAACCACGTGTTAATAAGTCAATGCAACCCTGTAGCTCTATAGGAACTTACCGGACAGGGAGATTGAATACTGAGGGCTCTGAATGCAATGAGAAAAAGCTATCTTAAAATAACTCAGTGGTAACTGCAGAGGTCACTGGGTGATGCGGGTCCGAATCTCAAATGGGATATGAGTTCCTTCAAGGTTGCAGATACGCCTTGATGACGAGTGCGAACAAGCAAGAGACCTAGATTCAAGGCTTCCTCCTGATTGCCTCCAACCATCTGTGATGACGAGCCACCTAGAATGGTGGCCACATTGCAAACCTGACTGATAGAGTCTAGTCGGTACCAAACAAAGGACTAGACAGTTAACACGATTTAATACTTGTGCACAACCAAAATAACTTAAGTCTGTAAGAACTTCATGTACTAGGGTTTGACAAAGACGAGGGAAGTGGAAATAATACCAACACCAAGTAATATTAGTTAATCCTCTCGGCGTTTAAAGGAGATGGCCTTGGGAAATATTTGGCTACTGAAACGATCTCTAAATAAGTAGATGAAGCATAAGAACCGCAAAGCTTGACCCTAAAAGTTGTGAAAGATGGTGGTATGACATCATTCGCTAATTATGGTATTACTTAGTGTTTTAGAAGATACTTCCATCAAACTAGTATATATCATAGGTTATCTCAGTTTATAAGAAAATGAAATTTTCATGATAACTACAGAGGAATCGGTTCAGCTGACATAAAATTCAAAATCCTAGGCTTTATGGTTAAGCTCAAGCTACATTCTACTCTGAAAGAAAAATCCTGAGGAAATCAGACCTGGACAACAGGGCACTGATAAAATCACCTTTAGACAGGCTGTTACTTACAGGAGTTCAACACCTGTCATATTTCTTGGCGTAAAGAAGGCATCCAACTGTTGTCAAGCTTTCTTAGGGGCAGTGCCTGATTGTGAAGGGACTTTCGAAGATGTGTAGTGTTTATCTAGATACTACCCGAATTTAAACGGTCAGGTAAGAGATTAATAGAGAGTCATTGTCTGAAGTGAGGACAACCGGTGATATCATTCAGGGATGCCTAGTATGTTATTATTTGGTTTTCTTATAAATGTGATAATGGAGTTGTAATTGCGTACGCAGTAAAATGTATAAATATATTAGAAGCTTAGTCCGCATAGAATACCAGTTTAAAGATACAGTATGAACTGATCATATGTCAAACAATTCGTCAGCCTAATCACCGTTACTGTGTCGTTTCGCGTTTAAATGCTCAAACTACTGACAATTTACAAGTAGTTGAGTATATTACAAACACTAAAGACAAATTCATGAATGGGGAGTTGTTTAGAAATCGGATGGATAATCGATAGAAAAGATCACACAGTATACTTGATAAAGATCTTTGGTAACAAAAATGATTTTTTTAACATGCTCATATATCTGATGATGATCCTCTTACACATTCTAGACATACTGAAAATATGAGTGAACCATGTGCAATTTAGCAAAATATACGAGTTCATAACTAAGAAACAAACACATTTATATAAAACGCAAGCTTAGTACAAGAGATCCACTGGCATTTATTAACCTTTTCTCTCAAGTTATCAACAATCTTTACCACTGTTTCTACAGGTGACTAGATATTATGCCAGACTTTCTCAGGGTGAGTCAATCGCATGTACTCGTCGAGCTATTTCTTCCACGATTAGAGACTTAGTGTAC